AGCTAGAACAACATGGAAAACCTGGAAGCATTGGACGGTCGTTTCGTCCTATTTTGGGGCTCCTCAGCAGTGCGCATCCACGACCTCGCCCCCCCCCGAGATTCGAACCCAAGACCTATCAGTCTAGCGCGACACATCCACCGGTAGATCCTGGGTTCGAATCTGGAGAGGCGGGATCGTGGATGTGCACTGATGAAGAGTCCCATACTAGGTCGAAACGGACGTCCGATGCTTCCAGGTTTTCCATGATGGTCTAGCTTCAATTGACTCATGATTTCAACTATTAAAATTATTATAATATCCAGAAATAAATCCTTCTGAAATTAACAAATATAAACGTAGGAAGTTGCTAGTAATAAAATCCTTTCACAATTTCATATCTGTAAATAAAAACTGGTATAAAAACAACAAGAAGTAAATGTTAGATATCAACAATTTATACCTCACATGTTTCCTGTGATATTTTAAAGCCGGAACTATTAAATACACTTAAAATATACTACAAGATATATATATACTTCAATACATAATAAGTTCAACAGTTTCACTTACCGGCATACTACCAGGAATTGCAACATCATGTAAACCTAATTGTGTATTAGGAGGAGCTCCAAAACTATATGGTACATATGTAAATAATTTATTATGTGCAGATAATTGAGCATGAATTTCTAATCCAATTAAAGGTATATAATTTGTTATTCTTGTTGTTTGAGTTGAATAGAATGTACGATGATATTGTGGTATAATTTGATTTATACAAAATAGATATTTGTATCGTGGAACAATCTTCATATTTTGTATTATTGACAATACTAGACAATGAAAAAACAAAATTATAGATGATAAAGAAATGAATCTACCTTATTATCAGTGATAATGCTGATAATTACTGGTAATCAGCATTACTGATAACTGCCCCCAGATGCCCTGGTATGGCCGAGAGTGGGGAGAGTCAGCTCTCCCTCTCCAAATGCTCTCATATGACTATTTGCATACAACCACTATCAGGGAAGTCCTAATCACTGCTTTCTCGCACCAACGGTGTTGTTTACGAAATTGAGAACGAAAAGCGAATGTCCAATGCCTTAATCGGGTTGGTGGATATGGAGGATCCACCTAGAGGAGTTGGAAAACCCTGATTCCAAGCCAGTGGTGCACAAGGGCTCCAGGATTTTGAGGGAACAAATGGCGTATGGACCACTCATTGGTCACCGGCTACCATGGGACGGCATCTCTTGACGTCGCCCCACTGCCCTGTAGATCAGACTTTTAGGCCAAAGGTTTGTGGTGTGAACCCTCAAGAAAACCACCTGTTTCGGTTTTGGCACCCGGGCAGAATCTCAGCCCTCACACAAATCGAATGCTTTATGTGGCACATATCTATTTGTTGCCTTCTTGTACCAATGTTTACGTGTTTAGATAAATAAATAAATAATCATTTGTTTTACTCTGTTTAATCCGATTCGAAACAAAATGAACCTTATTAATATGAGTACGCTCATATAGATCAGATTAAACTCCTGGTGGATAAATCCAAACTTAGAGTTTTGTTATCAGATAAGCTTGTTGTTTGGTTGATAAAGTTCAAGGTAAATTAATTGTAGACTTCTTGATAAACTCTTACTGTTACACAGAGGTTCTTTGCTTAACCTTCAGTTTGAGCTTTGCATGGATCAATAATTCCTATCATTAAGTTATTTAACAGATTATTAGCACTAGTGTTGCCTAATTTACTTTCAGTCTACTGCGATTCATTAGAATATATAATATACAGAAACATAGAGATCACTCCATGACATAAAAAACAAGCCTATCTTTTTATTGTGAGAAGAATAAATTTTTCTTTCTTCACAAATCATTAAAAGCATCAGATACGCATATTAACTGCTTCATAATACCGATTTCTAGCACAAGATTTTATCTTGAAATAATGAAGATTTGCTTCTCGGTTAGATACTTTTAGAAGTGTTGTGTCGTGTTAGCTAGATGACTTGATTGTGAAAGTTCCAGTGTTACTCTACACGATATCGCCAAATCATACTTTATATAGAACTAACATTTTCAGTCATTCCACAAGCATTAGATAAGTTTGTTCTAATGGCCACCTTTGTCACCATTTTTACTTTCATTTTCGCCGTTTTTCCCGTTGATATCAAGTCACGTGATTGACTGACCTCTCCCGTGTGGATTGAGAGATTGGCTCTATGTCAATGTGTTTACTGATTGTCTATTTATCTGGATCCCACGTTTCTAGAAATCACTCTACCTTCTTAAAAGTTTCCTGATCCAGAATGTTGATTTTTCCCAACTAAGTTCATGCCCACAGTTTTTTACATCCAGTTACATTAGTGACGACATACAATGTCATCCCAGCCCTAATCCATCTTAATTTATGAACAAATGAAGAAGTCTTTCACTTTGTCCACTGTAACACATTTCGCATTTGGTGTAACTTATTTTGTAGATGAAGACACATTTTGTTTCTTATTGGTTATATGTCTTCAGCCTAAATAAAATAGAATGAAGTGATTGCGTTGGTTTTATAAGTGACATTGATTTCGATGGGTTTCAGGGTTATTTTTCACATATACTACGGAATAAAACCTAAGAAAAAAACAATCTTACAGAGGATAATTAGAACGAACTGATTTGACTGGAAGGCTCATATATGCATGAAGTATGGGCTAATGTTGTTCAAAACAACAATGAAAGCTCCATAATTAGACGATCTAGCTAACAGAACAGACAGTGTTGAAATGTCATTATCCTATGAAACTACTGTCTCCTATGAACTGGGTGTAAGTTTATCGCTCATTTTCCTTGGTGCGATATTGATAAATGAGTTAAAACATTACGTGAGATTATGCAGAATTTATCCCTGTAGGATAGTTCTATTTATTGTTTATCTTGCAATAAAATATTACAAATTATCATTCGTTTTTACCTCTAATCTCGTGTACTATTGTTAAATCCATTGCCCATTCTCAATCGATGTCTCACTTGATTATGAATAGTATGCTACTTCACCAAGTTAAAACCACTTAAATACATCAGTATTCTATAAGTTTTTCATAAAATATTTAAACCTAGCGATAGTGGCAGAGACTGCGGCAAAGGAGAGTGTCACGGCGGGTAGAACCACAGGAGTGAAAATTTAAAGAGGATGAGTATGGTATATGCTATTTATGTTCGCAGATATAAATAGTAAGAAAGTTGGAAGGGGAATGCCTGCGAGCAGAAGACTGAGGAAATTGAAATAAAAAGAAAGAGAACCGAAAGCGACCAAAGTAACGACAGAAATGAAGGTATGACGAAGTTTGTAAGAGATAACTGGTGGAGGATGTACAAGAGATGTATTTGATGTATGGTTTTCATATTTCACCAAGGCACTCTGTGACTTTGCGCTAAACAATAAACTAGTCTTCTCCACCTGAGTTCCTCATTCACTACATTTGATGTCATTGCCAAAGGGAGAGCGTGGAGGATGCAGTTCGACTGAATTGAATGGTATTATTATTATTTAGACACAAACACTGATACAAGGAGGTACCAAACAGATATGCTCCACATAAATCACTCGACTCACGTGAGGGCTGGGATACTGCCTGGGTGTCTAAACCGAAACAGATGGTTTTCTTAGGGGGCCACACCCCAATAAATATCATGGTTATTTAATATACCCTTGTGGGTCAAGATAATTTTACATCGGTTTTCAGGAGAACCAGACACCATTCAGACTTTCTCGTGACAACCCAAACAGTACAGCACAGTCCTGTTTAACAGGAGAGTTGGACACCGTCCAAGATTAAAATTTGTAGCCCAAAAAGTACGGCTCAACCCCGTTTCCATGAGAACCAAACACCATCCAGGCTAAAACTTTATAACCCAAGCGATATAGTTCAATTCCGTTTCATAGGAGAGCGGGATAGTTCTATTTCTTCAGTAAAAAATAAGATGTTCTTCTAGATTTTTTACACAACTTAAAAATACAATGAGAAAAAGGTTGAAGATTTTTGTCTTACCCCCCCCCCCTCAGTGTCAAAATGAATAAATTATTTAATACGATTATTTAGACAATGTAGTGGGATAAATTAAAACTTGAAATATAGAAATTTCAACCTTATTGGCTGGTGGTTTAAAATTTTAATCTCTAATTAAGTCACTTCATTATTATTCAGTTGTTAACATAAGGTAAAATGTAATTAACATTCACTTGTTGTTTTTTTTACTTGTATCTTCCCATTGTTATTTAAGACTGTAATTGATCGCCCCCAAATACCCTGGTACGGCCGAGAGTAGGGAGAATCAGCTCTCCCTCTCCAAATGCTCTCACATGGCTACGCGTATATAGCCTCTACCAGGGAAGTCCTACTCACTGCCTTCCTGCACCACGGGTATTGTTTACGAAATTGAGAGGACGAAAAGCGAATGTCTGGCACTTTAACCGGGTCGGTGGACACGGAGAGTCCACCTAGGAGTGTTGGAAAACCCTCATTCCATACCAATCGTGGACATGAGCCCCAGGATCCTGAGGGAATAAATGGCGTATGGACCGCTCATTGGTCACCGGTTACCATGGAACTGCATCTCCCTACGTTGCTCCACTGCCTTGTAGATCAGACCTTCAAGTCGAAGGCTCTAGGTGTCGCCCCCTAAGAAAATCACCTGCTTCGGTTTGGGCACCCGGGCAGTATCACAGCCCTCGCACATATCAAATGAGTTTTGTGTGGCGTATATCTATTTAGTGCCTCCTTGTACCAATATCTATGTGTTAAAATAAATAAATAAACTGTAACTGATCAGTCTCACCCAGCTGACGAGTCTCAAACAGGACGAAACGCGCGTCCTGGATTCTATGACTAGCCACTATCCATCTTTGTTTAATTAACATTAGTTTAATATTTGTTACTTAAAGATAAAAAAGATATATGGATTTTTCAAACTATAAAAGGTATAAGTAAATCAACAAAACAAACATTGTAAATAAAACAATTTGATTTTCTGAAATAATTTTTTTTATTGTGATAGAAGAGAATGTTACCATATTTGTACAATAATACAGGTAGGAAACAAAAAAAAATACTTGTTATTTATGAATGAAATTAGACATGGGTTTTTTTCATATGATTAAAGAAAAGTTAGGCCTAAATTGTAAAAGATAATAATAATGTATATTAAACATAAACATTATGAACTTATATTTGAGCCTCGATTACAGCCCCATCTACAGCACCGGCAATAGGTACAATCAGGTTATCTTTACTCATAAGATTGTATTTTAACACAAATGTTGTAAACCTTCGACATAATGCAGTTGATTCCTGATTAAATAATAAAAGAAAACCAGAAAACTCTCAAATTAAAATCTATGAAACACTTTATAATGTACTTCAGCATTAATCACAAACAATCTCTAAACAACAAAGGGCCCCCAAATGCCCTGGTGCGGTCGAGAGGGGGGAGAGTCAGCTCTCCCTCTCCAAATGCTCTCATATGACTATTTGCATACAACCACTATCAGGGAAGTCCTAATCACTGCTTTCTCACACCAAGGGTGTTGTTTACGAAATTGAGAGAACGAAAAGCGAATGTCCAACGCTTTAATCGGGTTGGTGGATATGGAGGATCCACCTAGAGGAGTTGGAACACCCTGATTCCAAGCCAGTGGTGCACAAGGGCTCCAGGATTTTGAGGGAACAAATGGCGTATGGACCACTCATTGGTCACCGGCTACCATGGGACGGCATCTCTTGACGTCGCCCCACTGCCCTGTAGATCAGACTTTTAGGCCAAAGGTTTGTGGTGTGAACCCTCAAGAAAACCACCTGTTTCGGTTTTGGCACCCGGGCAGAATCTCAGCCCTCACACAAATCGAATGCTTTATGTGGCACATATCTATTTGTTGCCTTCTTGTACCAATGTTTACGTGTTTAGATAAATAAACAAATAATCATTTGTTTTACTCTGTTTAATCCGATTCGAAATAAAATGAACCTTATTAATATGAGTACGCTCATATAGATCAGATTAAACTCCTGGTGGATAAATCCAAACTTAAAGTTTTGTTATCAGATAAGCTTGTTGTTTGGTTGATAAAGTTCAAGGTAAATTAATTGTAGACTTCTTGATAAACTCTTACTGTTACACAGAGGTTCTTTGCTTAACCTTCAGTTTGAGCTTTGCATGGATCAATAATTCCTATCATTAAGTTATTTAACAGATTATTAGCACTAGTGTTGCCTAATTTACTTTCAGTCTACTGCGATTCATTAGAATATATAATATACAGAAACATAGAGATCACTCCATGACATAAAAAACAAGCCTATCTTTTTATTGTGAGAAGAATAAATTTTTCTTTCTTCACAAATCATTAAAAGCATCAGATACGCATATTAACTGCTTCATAATACCGATTTCTAGCACAAGATTTTATCTTGAAATAATGAAGATTTGCTTCTCGGTTAGATACTTTTAGAAGTGTTGTGTCGTGTTAGCTAGATGACTTGATTGTGAAAGTTCCAGTGTTACTCTACACGATATCGCCAAATCATACTTTATATAGAACTAACATTTTCAGTCATTCCACAAGCATTAGATAAGTTTGTTCTAATGGCCACCTTTGTCACCATTTTTACTTTCATTTTCGCTGTTTTTCCCGTTGATATCAAGTTACGTGATTGACTGACCTCTCCCGTGTGGATTGAGAGATTGGCTCTATGTCAATGTGTTTACTGATTGTCTATTTATCTGGATCCCACGTTTCTAGAAATCACCCTACCTTCTTAAAAGTTTCCTGATCCAGAATGTTGATTTTTCCCAACTAAGTTCATGCCCACAGTTTTTTACATCCAGTTACATTAGTGACGACATACAATGTCATCCCAGCCCTAATCCATCTTAATTTATGAACAAATGAAGAAGTCTTTCACTTTGTCCACTGTAACACATTTCGCATTTGGTGTAACTTATTTTGTAGATGAAGACACATTTTGTTTCTTATTGGTTATATGTCTTCAGCCTAAATAAAATAGAATGAAGTGATTGCGTTGGTTTTATAAGTGACATTGATTTCGATGGGTTTCAGGGTTATTTTTCACATATACTACGGAATAAAACCTAAGAAAAAAACAATCTTACAGAGGATAATTAGAACGAACTGATTTGACTGGAAGGCTCATATATGCATGAAGTATGGGCTAATGTTGTTCAAAACAACAATGAAAGCTCCATAATTAGACGATCTAGCTAACAGAACGGACAGTGTTGAAATGCCATTATCCTATGAAACTACTGTCTCCTATGAACTGGGTGTAAGTTTATCGCTCATTTTCCTTGGTGCGATATTGATAGATGAGTTAAAACATTACGTGAGATTATGCAGAATTTATCCCTGTAGGATAGTTCTATTTATTGTTTATCTTGCAATAAAATATTACAAATTATCATTCGTTTTTACCTCTAATCTCGTGTACTATTGTTAAATCCATTGCCCATTCTCAATCGATGTCTCACTTGATTATGAATAGTATGCTACTTCACCAAGTTAAAACCACTTAAATACATCAGTATTCTATAAGTTTTTCATAAAATATTTAAACCTAGCGATAGTGGCAGAGACTGCGGCAAAGGAGAGTGTCACGGCGGGTAGAACCACAGGAGTGAAAATTTAAAGAGGATGAGTATGGTATATGCTATTTATGTTCGCAGACATAAATAGTAAGAAAGTTGGAAGGGGAATGCCTGCGAGCAGAAGACTGAGGAAATTGAAATAAAAAAAAGAGAACCGAAAGCGACCAAAGTAACGACAGAAATGAAGGTATGACGAAGTTTGTAAGAGATAACTGGTGGAGGATGTACAAGAGATGTATTTGATGTATGGTTTTCATATTTCACCAAGGCACTCTGTGACTTTGCGCTAAACAATAAACTAGTCTTCTCCACCTGAGTTCCTCATTCACTACATTTGATGTCATTGCCAAAGGGAGAGCGTGGAGGATGCAGTTCGACTGAATTGAATGGTATTATTATTATTTAGACACAAACACTGATACAAGGAGGTACCAAACAGATATGCTCCACATAAATCACTCGACTCACGTGAGGGCTGGGATACTGCCTGGGTGTCTAAACCGAAACAGATGGTTTTCTTAGGGGGCCACACCCCAATAAATATCATGGTTATTTAATATACCCTTGTGGGTCAAGATAATTTTACATCGGTTTTCAGGAGAACCAGACACCATTCAGACTTTCTCGTGACAACCCAAACAGTACAGCACAGTCCTGTTTAACAGGAGAGTTGGACACCATCCAAGATTAAAATTTGTAGCCCAAAAAGTACAGCTCAACCCCGTTTCCATGAGAACCAAACACCATCCAGGCTAAAACTTTATAACCCAAGCGATATAGTTCAATTCCGTTTCATAGGAGAGCGGGATAGTTCTATTTCTTCAGTAAAAAATAAGATGTTCTTCTAGATTTTTTACACAACTTAAAAATACAATGAGAAAAAGGTTGAAGACTTTTGTCTTACCCCCCCCCCTCAGTGTCAAAATGAATAAATTATTTAATACGATTATTTAGACAATGTAGTGGGATAAATTAAAACTTGAAATATAGAAATTTCAACCTTATTGGCTGATGGTTTAAAATTTTAATCTCTAATTAAGTCACTTCATTATTATTCAGTTGTTAACATAAGGTAAAATGTAATTAACATTCACTTGTTGTTTTTTTTACTTGTATCTTCCCATTGTTATTTAAGACTGTAATTGATCGCCCCCAAATACCCTGGTACGGCCGAGAGTAGGGAGAATCAACTCTCCCTCTCCAAATGCTCTCACATGGCTACGCGTATATAGCCTCTACCAGGGAAGTCCTACTCACTGCCTTCCTGCACCACGGGTATTGTTTACGAAATTGAGAGGACGAAAAGCGAATGTCTGGCACTTTAACCGGGTCGGTGGACACGGAGAGTCCACCTAGGAGTGTTGGAAAACCCTCATTCCATACCAATCGTGGACATGAGCCCCAGGATCCTGAGAGAATAAATGGCGTATGGACCGCTCATTGGTCACCGGTTACCATGGAACTGCATCTCCCTACGTTGCTCCACTGCCTTGTAGATCAGACCTTCATGTCGAAGGCTCTAGGTGTCGCCCCCTAAGAGAATCACCTGCTTCAGTTTGGGCACCCGGGCAGTATCACAGCCCTCGCACATATCAAATGAGTTTTGTGTGGCGTATATCTATTTAGTGCCTCCTTGTACCAATATCTAAGTGTTAAAATAAGTAAATAAACTGTAACTGATCAGTCTCACCCAGCTGACGAGTCTCAAACAGGACGAAACGCGCGTCCTGGATTCTATGACTAGCCACTATCCATCTTTGTTTAATTAACATTAGTTTAATATTTGTTACTTAAAGATAAAAAAGATATATGGATTTTTCAAACTATAAAAGGTATAAGTAAATCAACAAAACAAACATTGTAAATAAAACAACTTGATTTTCTGAAGTAATTTTTTTTATTATGATAGAAGAGAATGTTACCATATTTGTACAATAATACAGGTAGGAAACAAAAAAAAATACTTGTTATTTATGAATGAAATTAGACATGGGTTTTTTTCATATGATTAAAGAAAAGTTAGGCCTAAATTGTAAAAGATAATAATAATGTATATTAAACATAAACATTATGAACTTATATTTGAGCCTCGATTACAGCCCCATCTACAGCACCGGCAATAGGTACAATCAGGTTATCTTTACTCATAAGATTGTATTTTAACACAAATGTTGTAAACCTTCGACATAATGCAGTTGATTCCTGATTAAATAATAAAAGAAAACCAGAAAACTCTCAAATTAAAATCTATGAAACACTTTATAATGTACTTCAGCATTAATCACAAACAATCTCTAAACAACAAAGGATCCCCAAATGCCCTGGTGCGGTCGAGAGGGGGGAGAGTCAGCTCTCCCTCTCCAAATGCTCTCATATGACTATTTGCATACAACCACTATCAGGGAAGTCCTAATCACTGCTTTCTCACACCAAGGGTGTTGTTTACGAAATTGAGAGAACGAAAAGCGAATGTCCAACGCTTTAATCGGGTTGGTGGATATGGAGGATCCACCTAGAGGAGTTGGAAAACACTCATTCCAAGCCAGTGGTGCACAAGGGCTCCAGGATTTTGAGGGAACAAATGGCGTATGGACCACTCATTGGTCACCGGCTACCTTGGAACTGTATTGCCTAATGTTGCTCCACTGCCTTGTGGATTAGACATTTAGGTCAAAGGCTCGAGGTTTGACCCCGTAAGAAAACCACCTGCTTCGGTCTGGGCGCCCAGTCAACATCCCAGCCCTCACACAAATTGAATGGTTTATGTGGCGCATATGTATTTGGTGCCTCTTTGTATTAATATTTATGTATTTAAATAAATAAATGAAACACGAAAAAGGATATTAAAGTTGTTAAAGTACTAATCTATCAGTTTAATTTTTATGGGCGCACATCATACAATTGAATCAAAGATAAAAACAATACGTTTGGAATTAATTGTTCACGAGAGAAGTGCTCGTCACGAGATGTCACAGTTCTTTACGTAATTCATTATGGATGTTGCTGCATTATCTTGTGTTAAACAAGGGTAGACAAAACTTCAGTTTTCAAATGACTTTACAAATGTGAAACAATCACAAAAATGCTATTGCTTGGGAACGGTGGTTCTTAACATTATTCAACAAGGTGAATCCATAAGCAAAAGGGAAATTGATGCTTCGCTATATACAAACAGACTATACAAATAATTCAGAAATATGACTACTGACCACTGAGAATAGAGGGTACGAGTCCCAACTTGATGAGAAAGGGTTAACTAGGCGTTTATCATCTCATTAGGCCTTTCATAAGAGTTGTCAAGTCAATGGCTTTAAATAAACAGGCTGGTACAAGTGGATAGGTCACACGAAAATGTTAACTACTTATTAAGAACAATGTTACCCATACAATGTGTTAAAATTAAAATTCTAGCCCTATAATAACCAAGCTGCTAATCAACATTTCAAGTAAACTTCTAGCACTAGAAGAGATTTAACTAGATGTGAGATAATTAAAAATCGGAAATATGAGTTATTACTCAGTAGTGTTTTGTGATCTCAGAGTAAAACGATTAATTATAAAAAACACATACAAATTAGTGAAAAGAAGTGTGAAATAAATTAACGCGATAAGGTTTACTTACTTCAAAAGAATCAAATATCTCTCGATGATGATAATAAGCATGAGAGAATATTCTATAAACACGACGGCAAACAGAATCAAGACGATTAACTGACGTAACTTTGATGCTTACTCTATAATGGTTAAAAAATGATAAGCACTATAAGTTAATTACCGACTAGGGAAGTATTTACTGCTATTCAACAGGCAAGCAGCTCCATCAAGCGTATGTCGTGTATAATCAACAGCTGGACACTATCAAAAACAAATAAAAAACAACCAATAGTTTAAATATTATTTTAAAAATGTCATGTGATAAACACAAGTTGTCAAATAGATAATAAACACTTATCTATTCGCAATAATAATTTAAATGAACTGAATCATGCTGTATGATATAAGTTGTAAACAGTGTGCTATGAACCTAGGGTAAAATGTACTAGAAAATTTGGTTAGCAAATATAATTTTTTAAACAACTTATTGGTGTTAGAATTGAAGTTGACATGGAAAAATTAATACCTCTTTAGGAGTCTTATGTGCTGCACACAAAAATATCCATTGTTCAGTAGCAGTCATCTGAGGACATGTTTTTGGGGTACATTGCTCTTGCAAACAAACAGCTAATCCATTTAGTTCCATACAGAATTGTCTCAAATGTTCGTACTTCCAGACTACTTCATCTTGACCCTCTGGAGCAGTTAAAATCTCATCCACATTGTTAAAATCACGTCTTATTGTTTGCTGTATGTACTATAAATGTAAGATTTTACTAGAAAATGAGGAGATACCTGCTGAACAGCTAATGTACTTTCCATATCTTCGAACGGTTCATCGGGCCAATTACACCACTCCTTAAAGGTTACGGTGAAGAAATTATTAGGATTGGTCGTACCTCAGCCTTAGTACCAGGTCTGTTTCGTCGAAAATAGACTTTACTTGTTGCCATTGTCTACAGAAAACAAGATAATTTCGACACCTGAATCTATTTAGAAAATGAAAAGTATTTCGCACTAAAATTATAAATGATTTGTACATATTTAGCTTACGTAGGAGGTTAGCATATTTGAGAACTAGATTAACTTTTGGTATTGTTGAGTTATTTAAGGTAGAGATGGTTTAGCTTTGGTTTAGTAATTTGGTATTATCCTGCAAAACTATCTCAATTACTGATTGTTTCGATTTTTTGGGAAAGTAAATCGACTTATGATTACTAGACGAGTCACAACCACGAGCACAATCAGGATTATTGATAGGATAACAAAATCACGCCACAAAATGATTCCACGAAATGAAGAAGACTTATACTTCAGGTGAGTGCTTTTGGCAACTTTCAATCCGATAGGCTGGACAGCCTAGAAGCAGACTGAGTCCTAGTTTCGGATATCATCGGTGCCTACTTTAAACAGAAATGAGCATTTCCATTATTTCACAAGTATTGTGTCTGTCTGTTCTGGTTGTCATCACGGTCTTCATCTTTATGCGTCCATTTCCTGTTAGCTCCTTTTTTCAGTCCACTAATGACCGAGTGAATGGTTGGCTCTTTCCAAACAGATTAATAGGTTGAATTCATAGAAATGTCTGTTGATTGCAGAACGACCTGAATGTCAAGGTTCTACAAATTCTCTGGTATTTTCCGGATTTCTCAGATCCAGATCTCTGACATATTTCCAATCAAATTTATGTCCGGAGTTGTTTGTACGCAATAATATAAGTAGTATATCATGCCCTTCCACTGTTTGCGTACATTTGTACTTAGACATAGGTGTCCACTACATTTTATGCTGAACGATCCTGACTTTAACTGTGGGGCGTCATAACCCTTATATACGGAAACACTTCAACTCTGAGAACAGAGTTCAAATGGTTTATAGTTTTTCTGTTTAGCGTATTTATAAGCGGTTCATTATACAACATATGGGTCCCCAATACCATGCTCAATCCTCCTTTACCAGTACCTGGAACCGGCAGCGATCATAGAGGGGGTAACTATTTCAACCCCTGCAATCTTGTTTGAGTAGACCAAAACAAATAGAGCCTAAAAATGACGACTCGTTATTTTTGAAACTTTTTTAGAGAAGCTAATAAATATAAACACGACTTATTACAAGCTTATGTCGTGCTGGCAATATAGTTCGTTGTGTGACTATGATCTCTTTCGAGCGTATTTTTTGACAGAACAGTGAACGATGAGAAAAATTCGGGGTAAACTACCACGTCTTAAGTTAGCTTTAAGTGGTCCACTAGATAGCGTATTCAAATAATTTCCGACTTAAGATATCTTGAAAGAGGATAGTAATGTGATAAAAAAAAGAACTAAGATTACTGTGTCGTTATACGTGTGTAGGTATGTACTTCATATTTACAGAAAATGAGAGCTTAAACTACGTCGCAAAATGAGAACGGATTATTTACATGATCTGAAGACCATAATCTTGACTGTTTTTTCCGTAAAGTATTACAATGGAACCTATATAATACACGTATAAAGTGATGGCAATATTATGTCCCTAAAAATCTCCTAAACTCGCTCATACTAAAGTATTCATGGAAGATTGTGGAATTCAACAGTGAAAGAACTTTTATAATGAATGAGCAAAAAAAGACCTGCTCGCCCTAATAAGAGCCGCCGGAAAAGCATCTCGTTTCACAATTGAAATCGAAAACAAAACTCAAGGATTATCAGGCCTCTTGTAATCTTTTGATTTCGAAAACATGCCTGATTGTACTGAAGGAATGGAAAATTTAAAACTCTAAATCGCTGAACATGGACAACCAACCTTTGAGCCTGACCGCGCTTTCGTCCCATGACCTTGGATGAACTGTTCGACAAAGGGCATTGCGTATATGAAATGCTTGAATGCGTGTACGCGAATACTCGTCTCTGATGTTTGTGTCTTTATTTAGTCTTTTGATGTCTGAAAAGCACTAAAGTCACTTCTTGAAACATAAACTATATTCTCTATTTGTTTTTTTGTTCACCCTAGAAACTGAAATTGTCAACTCATCAATGTCTAAAAAATCTGTGACCGTATCTAATATATCCAGCATCTAATGTCTTAGTGATGATCGGATTTTTCGCTGCTTCTGTACTGTTCCTGGTATTCGGTTATGTCTAGTAGTCTATCTAATCGACCTCTATACTTCTGGTAAGTTTAGTAGTTAGTTGTGGGTTTGTGTATCGTGTATTCTAAGTGAGTGGGTTTTCCTTAGGACATCAAGGCTTATGGATAACAGGAACTATCACGTTAACAGACAGGAGGTTGCTTGGTTGGTTTCAGTGTAAAACAATAAAGTGAAAATTCGCATGCCAAGTGTAGTAAATGAGTAATTTAACTGGTTAGCACTCCAGACAGTGTGACGAGACTGGATAAAAATGGAAGCGGAGATGGAAATAAGCAACCAATTATATCCGCCATCCTTGTAAGCAATGGAGGTCGGCTTTCTTCGTTCTGTGCTTTTTTCAGCTATTTCTTTTGTGTAGCTATGTAATTTAATGTTTCAGTGTGCTAAAATACCGCAGTTGGTGTAATGTTCTATATGTAGGTGTGAAATTTATTTCGAATCAGCGATGTTTTCTGGGTTTTCGCTGCTTCTTCTCAAGTCAATGTATTTCTTCAGGTAGTCTGGCTAGTCTTGTGTTATAAAATGTCAGCCGGCTTTCTTCGTTCTGTGTTTTTTCCCCAATTTCTTTCGTGTAGCTACATGATTTAATGTTTCATTGTGCTAAAATGCCGAAGTTAATGTAGTACTCTGAACGTTGGAGCAAATTTTTTCCTGATTTTGCTTTGTTTTCTGAAGTCAATGTATTTATTCAGCTAAGCTGGCTAGTACTAACATAAGACCTTATGTTTTTAAATGATAATCGGTTATGTTTTACCTTGTTTTCTAGATATCCAAGCCGAAGTTCGTTTTTATTTAGCTAGGATAATTGTTGCTGCCGCCTGTGACTCCAACTGTTTGCATGTTCGTTCCTAACTGTCCTTTATGATGTTATCGGCAAAATGAAAGGAAACATTCTCCGGTTTTCAATTTTATTCAGTACTATGGACAACACTACCCCACCAACGAGCCAAACTAATACTGAGTGCCCAACAGTAGGGGATATCAGTATTGTTTTCGAAAGGACCCAAACTTTCGACAACCATAGATGAAGTCACAGACGCTACCAATCTATTGCAGAGGGTTTGTTATGAAAAATATGCCATATGGCAGTAATAGATGGGTCGTACTCATTACGTAGTGCGTTAAAGAAAGCTTAACATTGAAAAGCCGGAAATCTGCTACCAGTGTGTAGTGTATGTTTGCTGTTTTGACAATAAAAGGAAGCCGAAGGGTCATGATCAGAGAGTAAAAAGGTAATTGACTGTTGTTAAGCTGACTTTTTTATAGATCATATTTCACCACTCACAAATTCGTGTTTTTTTACGGTATGATGTTGCAGATCACCAACGTAGATGATCAATGTCGAAATGATTGGAAGCCTACTCGAGTTAGACGTGAATGGTGTGACAACTAGCTAACGTCGAAGTCACACCTCATGAACAGCACCTTACGTGGACTACCCCATCGACGTTTCAAGGTACCATATATGCTTTGAAGACTGTACAACACAGAAGACGTTATTACAGGAATATATTAGTTAAAGTAAATACAAGCGAAATTGAGACCAATGCCGCATGGGTCAGTCCATGACATATGATTAACTGACGCGCGTTTGTTGTCCCTGACCTTGATGAGGATCGACAATTCGCTCAATATTCAATGACCCAACTCCCGGATGATTTGGCTATGACTTAGTGACATTTCGCAGGCCCTACAATGTCAACCGGTACCTAATATGTTCACCCTTACGATGAAAATTACCTGCAAATTTTCACCTTCAAATTCGAATTATTTTTGAACAACTGTCTTCCAGTTTAAGTGCTTCGTACGCCCCGAGAAACTCTATTTCTACAACATTCGTAGTCCCAGTATAACTGTCTCACGCAGTAAGTTCAAATTAGACACTAGTCTTTCTAACTAGGCCTGTTAAGCTAATATCAGTATTCTCTATTTCAGTTAATCGGTGAAGAATGTACCATGTGCATCTGCTGAATACTTCCATTTTACTCTAATTCTAACTGTTATATCTTCTGGAAAATAAAATTGCTATATGCAGCAAATACAGACTTATTTGTTTTGATGGAGATAAGGGGGTTCATTGGATTTTTAGCAGGACCGTAGTAATATTCTCACTGAAAAGCTAAGCGAGTGCGTGGACCACTGTAAGGTACCATACGGGGTGCCTTTGAGTTACTAGTGTTCCATCAGTGTGGGTAGAGGCATTGCTTGCTTATCATATGGCATTTGAATAAGAATCTATGAGACTAGACGCAGGTACGGTTAGGACGTGTAAGGCGTGTCCATCCGTCAGCTGCCGTGACGACTCGTAGTGGTTAGAATAAATTATGAGAGGACCCGAGTCTGTAGGTTTCCCAAGAAAATGACGAAGATATATACTAAATCACTTAGATTTACTACATATGAACTAGGTGCTGAGAGGCTCGTGTATCACAAGTTTCTTGCAACGATTAAGTAGATAAAACAAAGTAGCATTAGATTTAAAAGTTTATTCAGGAACTTTCATTAAAAATCGAATATCAAACAAAGGTTTAAACCATATCGCAATGGCTTTATTATTTTGCTCCCATTTAGGTATTCCCATGCACCTGCGTCTAGTTTAACAGGAAGATATACAAGCACAGTTAGTGTCTGATAAACTAAAAGTCCCAGTCGTCAAAAAGATTCCTAACATTTGTCCACAGCCAGCTGCATTTAATCGAGACACAGAACACTCATCTTCTAAGACTGTATACTGCTGTTTAGCGGGCAACTAAAAGCTCAGACGCTTATCTGTCCTGCTACCGATGTTATTGCTGGGGAAGTCGTTTAATGACAGTGATCTTGAAATATGGTCAGTGATAGATGTACAGTCTAGAAATAAACACCAAACATACTTAAAGATATCAAATAATGTATGACAGCAACAGTACCAAAGGTATATTTTTCCTATTTTTAAACAGACTGATTTGAATCAGTATACTCATTAGAAACAGGCAGCTCTACTTACTAAACTGATCTGTTTCGTTACAGGCTTCAAGCAATATACTTAAGTATACCATAATTCTATAGACTAAACAGAATTATGCGACAACCAAGAATACTAAAGTACGCAAGTGTCATAGTTATTGTTTCATTTACACAGACATGTTGCTCAAAGTAGTTGAATGAACATAATTCAGCCGATAAAACCAAAACACGAAATTTAGGCTAGTCGGACTTACCTAACAGAAGACTAAGGATATATATATTACTTTCAAACTGAAGACAACAGTCAGTTGTTCATAAAAACATAGTTTACAGCACAACAAACCTTCCTTTAGTAACATTATGCACTGACGGTCTATCTGGAAACAATCAACTATGAGATTAAACTCATTATGACTTGGGATATCACCCCAGCGTGCAATGAATGTACAGTGTAACGCAGTCGGACGTGGAGAATAAAAATTAAAAACAGAGTAAAATTAACAACATAATCTAGTTATTTAATTAAAAATACATTATGAAATGACAAAATCTGTGGTTACTTGAACGCATAGATGACCCTGGGCGATACATTAGGTTTACATGGTTGCGTTGCGGATAAATTCACCCCGTCAAGTCTTATCTTGAAGCCACCCGATGAAGAGGCTCTGAACACTACGGCCGGAAGAGCATTTCGAATGAGAGCGACTCTTAATGAAAAGTAAGAGCGTGCCCTATACTTTTGCCCTTTGATGTGGAATTTTTTGGGAACTACCTAGAGATTTTGATGTCCTGGCATTGTGTTCGTGTTTGAGTGATTTGGCATACGTATTCGGTTGAACGATGTTATCAGATCAATTCTTAGTCTCCTATAGCACAAGGAGAATAAACAACAACTTTTGAGTCTCTATGTGAGATTTGTTTAGTAGGCTTACGCACTAATTTACCCATCTCTATACACTGTCTGATAGATTTACGTCCACCTTTAAGAAGGTGAGCACAACAACAATATATACTATAATGTGAGGCTGTATGTTTCAAGCAATGTCAGAAATATTTCTTGGGTGAGTGTATCTAGTTGTCTTCACACGAAGTAAGGAGTTGAATCTGCATTGGCTGCATTAGTAACATAATCTGAGCAGGTGTTCAAGCTCTTCGTAGCTACCGGGTCTGGACTGCGTTTTGAGCAAACAATTGAAGGATAGTTTTCATGGTGAACGCGAAATTTTTGCATCCTATCGGGCAGAATTTTCATGACATCTAGACAGGTTAAATTTTAATTCTATATGTACTGCCCACATTTATATTGTTATGTACTCCTTTTGAAGCCCGATTCAATCCTTATCACATTCTATTGACCTCTACATTCTCACCGTGTCTGAGTAAATTAATGCAGTTGGACTAATTTTATCTAGAAGGTTGTTTGTGAAGAACAGGAGGAGTTAACTCTTTGAAACTCTTCATGTCGAGACCCTCCGGTACATGTGCACCTTATTTACTTTTAAATGGAGCCCAAATTGAAAAGGGTTAGTCAAAACAATCTTCATTATCTTTCCATGATTTTTGTAAGCCGGCATTATATCAACTGCTTTAGAGAAGTTGAAAAAATAACAGTGTCTGGTATATTTTCTCTCAACAGGTTGCAGAACTGGGTAACCATTTTTGGTACGCCCATAACAATAACGACGAATAAAGGAGCGCAATTGGAATCCGAACTATTTAATAACTTGGCTAAAATTCTAGGCTCCAATAGGATACGCTGCACTGCATATCATCCTCAAGCTAATGGGATGGTAGAACGTTTTCACCGTCAGCTAAAAGCCGCCCTCATATCTCACTCAAACCCCAATCAGTGGATGGAATTCCTACCGTTAGTTATGTTGGGAATACGAACATCCGTCAAAACTGACGCACAGTGTTCAGCT